GCACCCCGGAGGCAGGAGTTCTTTCCTGATTTTCAATTCCCTTTCCCATAGGCTTATTGAAAGAGTGCCATCGGCTTATTGAAAGAGTTTCTGCATCCAGGGGTGGCCCCAACACTGTCTCTGTCGGAGAAGAGCGGGTCTGCCTCAGTCCAGGAGAATTCGGAGCCACGGAGGCCTAGCAGGGTTGAGAGAGCGCGCGCCTGAAAGCCCAGGAGAGCGGACATAACTGGATCGGAGTTCTGGGCCCGGGTATGAACAAGGGGCAGGGCCGGGCCTTTGGGGGGAATAGGGTAGAAGAGCATAGAGGTTCCCCAGCAGGGAGCCTGAGGGATCCCTAAATCCAGGCCCTTCCCCAGTGCATGGCAGGCTTTTGGTGAGACCCTTGATGCTCCTCGGCTTCAAATCTGCACTGAGAAGTGAGGTGGGCCCTGTCAAGGCAAAGTCTCCGTATTCCTGGGCCCCAGGAACTCCTCATGTTCTCTACGGAGGAGGAAACCTCTCAGTCCCACCCAGAGCCTGCCTGCAGGTCAGAGCATCAGGCCCAGCAGTAAACAGATAGCTTAAGCCCGGTCTGGGGCCGAGCCCATCCATTGCCCAGGTGAACCAAAGAGGACCTGCAGTGCTATCTTCTTAGAGCGCACAGAAGCTGGCTTTACTATAGGGCTACGTGGACAGCGCTGGGCCCTTAGGGAACTGCAGACTGAAGGACTATTGGTGAACGGGTACTACCACCGCAGAACTGCCTTGTGGGGTGAGAGGAGGACACTTCCTACACAGGACTGGATGACCAGCTGGGGATCTTCCCCAGCCACTGGCACTGAGTGGGAATGGAGCTACCCTAGGAGGCAGCTGGAGCTCAAGACCTGAGCCATTGCTGTAGCGACTTCCACCCAAGGACTGGAGCCAACCTTCTGGTGGCGTCACCCTCTTTTGTCCTCTTTACTGCAAATCTTGACCGGAGACCCGTGTGGGTCGAAGGTGGAGGGAGAATAAAAAGCAGCCACTGAGAACCAGGGCTTTACCCTTCCAAATACCTTCACCCCATTTGTTCATGCTCCGTAGAAAAATAAAATATTTTCTAAGTTAGCCATAATAAAAATAAAAAGTACCCCTCAAGGAAAGGAACCCTCTCTTCTCCCATTAGTTTGGGCCCCACTAAACTAAATGATAATCAGATTGCTTAGATGCCTGAGCTCTGTGCCCCAGCACACAGTGGCCAGGGTGAGGATGTGGACTTCAGGTGTTCAAGGGCACCGGAGGAAGGGTGAACTTGCTAGTCAGACCAAGAACCAACCATAAGGTCAAGTTCAAGGCATTACCTGTTCCTGTGCTTTAGGGAAGGATAGAGGAAGTTAGGGAAGGTTCCCTCCATAAAAGAACAAATTAACCACTGCCTCCACCTGGCAGAGATAGAGGTGGTCTTCTGGTATTTTACTAAAGATCCAGCGCTGCCCAGAGGCAGGGATTGGCCACGATCTGTCCATACACTATTCCAAGATCAAATACTGAGAGATTTCCTAGGCCTCCCCAGACAATCCACCTCTCCAGATTACCATGGAGGACAGATGTACCCACCCATAGGACATCTTCTATATGGAAAGAGAGATACCCCAAATGGAGGCCTGGCTTCCAATCCTGAGAAGGGCTCTGTGGCTATTTCCATCCTAAAGCCTTCTGGCCAACTCTTGCACCTGTGTGCAATATGGTCTCAAGGGTTGAAATAGTCATCTGTGTAGCTTTCTAAGAAATAGCTTAACATTCAGAGGAAAACGGGCGCAGAGCAGCAAAGGGACAGCATATTGATGGTACCTTAAACAAACCACCAAAAAAACCAAACAAACAAAAAACAAATATGGACATTTGAAAATAAGAGCTGTCAGATGGGAATGACCTCTCCCAGGCTAGCTACAATTCAGGATCGCCCAGCCTAGATAAGCAGGAGCCAGATGCCCAGAAAAGGGACCAATGTTGAGAGGGAGGGAAGATGAACTTGGTGGGGCCTTGTGATGGAGTATTCCAAAGGAGGTGGGAGACCTAGCTTAAATCTCTAGGGGAGATGCAAATTGGGGGAAGAGTCGGAACCTAACAACCCTTCTCTGTGCCTGAGAACTGGGTGCCCTCCAGAGGCACCTCAGCTCTGGCCCAGCCTAGGAGAGGTGTCTGAGAAGGAGAGGGACAGGTGAGCAGGAGCCCTAGGGGTACAGGATGAGCTTGGGAAGGAGTAGTGAGTGTGGGCATGCTGGCTTGGCATTCACACTGTGGACCTCGCACTGGGCACTGAGGGGCTGCAAGTGCAGACCCTGGTCACTTTGGAATCCCGATTTCAAAACCAGCCCCAGAGAAGAGGACAGTCTCCCAACTGCACCGGTTGGGGTTGGAAGGCCTGAAATCTGGTAGTGTCCCCCCCCCCAGTTCTATCCACTCTTGAAGTGAGAGGGCAATAAGCTATCTACCCAGTGCCAGTCCTTGCCGCTCAAGTCCCTGGAATAATTGTGCTGGAAACGCCCCCAGCACGACAATCGTGATGACAAGGCCTCACATTGCCCGGGTGCGCACTGACTACACTGATGCCACACTGGTAGGGCACCGCCCGCTGGCGCCCTCCGGCCGCTGCCCAGAGCCCTCGGCTGCAAGAAGAAGCAGAAGCGGCATAGGCGCCTGGACACACTTTATTCCGATATTGCGCCAGGAGAGGCGGGGGAGCGCAAGGCGCACAGATCACCGTCCCCGCCAGGACGAACACAGCCTGGTGAGAAGGGTCGGGGAGGCGCTGCACAACCCCCACCCCCAACCTTTAGAGCCAAATCAGACGGAGCCTGGGACAGGCTTGGTCTGTTTTGCTGACCAAATCTCCCTGTTAGCCGTTTCCGCCTTGACAAGGCTGACGCGGGCGCCGGCCTTCTCTTCTCCGGGTGGTCACCTCTAAACGCTGCGCGGGAAGCGATGGGGCCCGGCCCTGCAGAGGTCTGCCTAGACCTTGAAGTTTGGAAAAAACAAGGAGAGATTGAACCGGCTCCCTCCCTTCTCCACAGACACACACACGCACCGTCAGGCCGCCGCCACTTCCTGCCTTTGTTTTTCTTCCTCCAAACATTTTTGGCCTCTTGCATTAGCCGCTGTAGGGCTCCGGGTTGACGATAAAAGGAAATACACGCCGAAGACTGTTTTCTGGACACGGCCCCGCGCTGTGGAGCTCCTGAGAAAGAACAGCTCCTGGGAAACCAGTCGCCAGGGCCAATGTCACCGCCTTGCCTGCCGGTGGCCTGGTCAAGAAATGGAACTCGGACTTGGCCTTCCGGGGCGGCCTTAGCCCCAGTCTGGTCTTTCCCAGAGTCGAGTGGGCTCAGCGCGGCTGCTGGGCCTCCTGCAAAGCGGAAGAATCAATTAGGCTCAGAGCAAAGTTAAAACCAAGGACCCGGCCACTCTGTCTCCCCTCCTTCCCCAAGATTCGGTCTGATCCTCAGAGCTGCGCCCACACCCCTTCCCCTCCGCCCCGCCTGGGGAAACATTCCCGCGCCAGTCTACTCTGCGCAAGAGGGGCAAGGGCTAGCTGGGAACATTGATCTGCCCTGGGGTTTGAGCACCCACCTTCTATGCCTGCTGGGGAACTAAAAGCTATCGCATTTTCTCTCTTGCTGGCACCAAAAGCCTTTTCCCTCATCCATCTTTACGGCAGCGCCCCCATCCGCCCCCTTCCAGGATGCAAATCCCTCCGGGCACCCCGCTTCAGAACAGCCTGCCGAATTGCCCTGCGGGCCGCAACTGCAGCGTCTTCGTCCTCCCCGCCTTTCCTGGGGAATTCGTCTTTGTCTCTTGCAGACACCTATGGGATCCAGACCCGCAGGCATCCTCTCACCTTGGCCCTCGGGGACATGGGAGACAATGGTTATGCGAACAGCGCACACCCCCATACCGACCTTTCTGCAGGGACCCCCTCTTCCTGGCACCAGGAAGAAATCGATCTAATTAAGAGAGGGACTTCGTGCAGCCAGGAAAGGCGGCCAGGCGTCCCCCGCAGGCGGGCCACCGCGGCCAGTCTACTCAGGCACAAGCTGAAGTTGACTGCCAAAACTGCTATAAAACCGCAGGTCTGTCTAGAACTGTTTTCGGTTCTCCTAGACGCCCCCGGGTTCAATTATGGTCTTAAAAGCCCTAATACAAGTGCAAGAATTTGTTTGCCTTCACTCAGGGGCGGGGCAAGCCCTGCAATGGTGGCGCCTTTGTTACAGCAAAGTCCCTGAAACCCCTCATGCATTCCTTTTGTTCAAGGGTTGGGGTGGTGAGGCTAGGATGGGCTGCTGGGAGAATTTGGGATAGCCAAAATCAAGCCAGGGAGTAGCTCAAACACTGCTGTTTGAAACCTCTCCTCCCTTTTATATTCGGTCTCCCAGAAAGAGATGCTGTGGAGAAACAAATATTTTGCCTTGTTGGTGGCCGCTGGAAATAGAAGTTTTTTCACTGCAGGGCAAGCCTGTAATTGTGATTCTCAGCTTTAGGAGGTCTCCTGCTACCCTTCCTTCCCACTGAACCTTCTCACTCGCTCCTGCTGCCCTCTGCACAAGCCACAGTGGACAAATATGTCAAGCTGAAGATGCACAAATAATTTCAAGTTCTGCTCTCAGGGATTCGAGGGGCATGAAAGTTCTTGCAGCAAATCCTGAATAAAGAGTTCATTAAACCAATGTGTCTGAGAAGCTTGATTTGTGATAAGGAACCCTAGTAAAGGGGGTGGGGGAGCCACATAAACATTAATGCTAATAAATTAGTTTACTCCACTACAGAGTAATTACTCGATATTATTGATATTTACAGCGGGTATTCAAATGCAATGGTGGACCATTATTTGGAGAAAATACATAATGAGAATATTTCTTTTCCAGTGCAATACATGATTAGATTTGTTATTGAGTCAGTTACAGTCAGCTCAGCAATAAATAAATAAATCGATGTTGACACTTAAATACCAAAGATCCTAGAGTTTATTCTCTAAATCGCCCTGAGATATGTAAATACCTTTAGCGGTTTCCTGGACAGGGAAATGGAAAAGGTTATCCTTTTTTTATTTTTTGACCTTCCTTCAGCGACACCCCAGCTACTTCCAAGAAGAGAATGATGTGTCCCCTCCCACCTCCTGGCCCTGCCTGGCTGCTCTGTGCCTTCTCCCTTCTTCACTTCCCCGGGAGCATTACTCCTTCAATCCTGCAGGATAATACACATAATTTGCTTCCTTAATTCTTTTCTTTCATCTTCTCAAGAAAGCTAGACTCATACTAGCCGCCATGCCTTCCATCTCTAGCTTTAGCACAAACTATCCTTTTCAAAGCATCTTCTTTGCTCAAGATGTGGGGAGTTTGGGAAGCACCTCTCCTTTCTTTGGCGTTGTGTTTCTTCCGTGGAATGAGTAGCAGAAAGGCGAGGAGCCGTCTGAGTTTCTGCACATCCCTGCTTTCACTCTCACGCTTTGCAAGGAGGAAAAGGAGGTGGGTTACCCTTTTCTCAGCCACAGCCTTTTAGCCATCACCCTCTCCTTGCCACCCATGTTCTCCCACAGCCCTGAAGCTCAGCAAGCAGCCTACTGGGGCCCCCCTCCAAAGGTGCAGCATACCCAGGAGAAGTCTCCTCGGCTGTCAGCGCCTCTAAAGCAGCCCAAGGCTCGCCTCAACTGCACGGTTTCCCGAGTCAGCTCCAGAACACCAGGCAGGCGCGCAGACCGGTGAGCAGCGGCGCAGCCCCGGAGCCTCGGGCTCAGCCAGTCACTTCAAACCCCGGCAAGGCAGAGAAAAGGGAGGCTTTTCTCCAAGGCAAGGAGTGGAATGGGGAAGCAGGCAGGGAAACTGAGGGGAGAGAGAGATCCCGGGTAAGACGAAGGCCCTTCTTGGCCTCGCGGATCATTGACAAACCGCGGGGGAAGCCGCTCTGGCTGTTGGCGGTTTAGGGACGGAAGGCACTAAAGCGCTTCGGAAGTGACCATGAATGCGAGCGTGTAATCAAGTCACCGTGCAAATCGGACAAGCCACGGGGCCGGCACATCCACGGCTGCAAACCCTGGCCCCGAAGGGGGTCCGGTCGAGGTTGGAGACAGAAGTGCTTTCCAGAGCAAGCCTGTGGGACGTGGACTGCGAAGAAAAGGGTGAGAGAGAACTCGAGCCTCTCGGAGAACAGACGCCGAGACCACCGACCACACAGCAACGGACTCCCACCTGGCCACCTCCAGCCTGGGGCTTCCCTCACCCACTGGAGGAGTGGTGGTGGGAGGGCAGGAGTTGAGCTCTCTCACTGACCTGGGCACACTTGAGAGCCAGGACCATGTAGCTGAGCAGGGCGAGCTGCATGGGGGCGCACCCCAGCCTCAACCCAGCCTCACCGCGTGCAGGGAGGCCCCCCCAGCCAACATGAGTTACACCGGCGATTACGTGCTTTCGGTGAGAACACCGAGTGACGATCTGTTGCTTCCCCTGAGGTGGCTACAAAGAAAGGAAGCCGAGGAGGGAGGGGAGGGAGGGAGGGAAAAAAAAAAAAAAAAGGAAAGGGGGAAAAAAAGGCCCGGACTAGCTCACAGCTTGTCAATTTCAACATCGGGTCACATGACCAGCACCTCCCTGCTAAGGATGGGGATAGATTTCCACGTCAGCTTACGTCTCCAAATTTCTACTTCACGGATCCGCTTCAAAGAGGCAGCTGCAGTGGAGAATCATGTTAAGCTCGGCTACTGCGGAGAGCCCAAGGTAGCCCAATGATGGATTTTGATGAGCGTGGTCCCTGCTCCTCTAACATGTATTTGCCAAGTTGTACTTACTACGTCTCGGGTCCAGATTTCTCCAGCCTCCCTTCTTTTCTGCCCCAGACCCCGTCTTCGCGCCCAATGACATACTCCTACTCCTCCAACCTGCCCCAGGTCCAACCCGTGCGCGAAGTGACCTTCAGAGAGTACGCCATTGAGCCCGCCACTAAATGGCACCCCCGCGGCAATCTGGCCCACTGCTACTCCGCGGAGGAGCTCGTGCACAGAGACTGCCTGCAGGCGCCCAGCGCAGCCGGCGGGCCTGG